GGTTGTATGCCTCTACGAACCCATCAAGTTGCAGTTACAGTTTATGTCCATGTCTGTGAAAACATGGATGCTTCACACTCATCTTCCCCCCGGCAGGACAGAAGATCTAATCAGCAGTGTGAGGGTAACACATTACAAAAGTAACGCGTTACAGTAATATATTACTTTTAAGCAGTAACAAAGTCATGTTACGCATTACCAACAGGATTTGGAGTTATATTATTACAGTGTCATATAACACAATACCAGCCAAAATAAACAGTTTATTGTTTGCATTTTTCATTCAGCTACACTGTTCCACACAGCTCCACTTCCACCAATGCACCACCAGGAAAAATATCCCCCAATGGTTGTTGTGTGTTGTTATGTCATTCATTATAGGCTACCTTATAGAAGAGTGCCAGTGACTGTGTGCATTATCATGTCCAGTGTGTTTCCATTCATATACCTACACCATATCTTGTTCTGCTTTTGCATCCTAAGGCTGCCTGAAAGCAACAGGGATAAGGAGCTGGCCTCTGGATTGTTTTTTCTTTGTCCCAATAAACTGCACACATCTGGGTGATGGTAGTAACCTACATGTTGGATGTTTCCATTCACATACCCTACAACTGCAGAACAACACCAGCACACAGTCCTGTTTCTGCATATCCCTCACTCCGAGCTGCTGTAGCTGACCAGGACACTGGGAACCAGCAGGTGGGTTGTCTGGCTCCAGTGTATTAATTTGCGCTTGTCATAGTAATTTACTCACATGCCATTCTGTTTGTTGTACTAACCTCAGCATTTGTTTATTTTGTTTCATGTCACAGGCCCACAAATATTGATCCATATCTCTCTTCCACATCATTATCAGACTTTGACCCTCTGCCTGACCCTCCCTGTGTCCAAGGCTATTCATTCATTTAAAGTGGTCTAAGCTGAAGATAATTGTTCTGTGTCATCATGCTATTAATATAAGCAGGTGATTTTAATAGAGTGGCAACCACTGTATGTGAATGCATGAATGGGTCAGACCTGCGCAGCACTGAATTTGAAATGGACTGTAATAAACTGGAGCTTCTGTGCTTTGATTACCTGCTGTGTAACAACATGACCCTAATCCGTTTAAAATCAACATTAGTTCTTCTGAGCTCATTTTGGTCAAAGTAATGCAAAAGTAGTGTAATAAATAACTTATTATTCTACACAGAGAGTAATATTGTATAGTATCTTATTACTTTCAAATGAAAGTAACTCATAATATATAATATATTACATTGTAAGAGTAACTTGCCCAGTACTGATAATCAGTGCATATTATATTATGCCAACAACAAAACGCTTCTTGTACAGTCTTCATACATTCCCAAAGGTCCAGACAATCTAAATCTGGCAAAAATATTAAGTCCAAACACATTATTATATCCATATACAGTACAGGCCAAAAGTTTGGACACACCTTCTCATTCAATGCGTTTTCTTTATTGGCCACTCGTTTTTCTTTAGTTAGCTGATTGGTTCTTGCCATAATATGAATTTTAACAGTTGTCCAATAGAGCTGTCGGCTGTGTATTAACCTGACTTCTGCACAACACAACTGATGGTCCCAACCCCATTGATAAAGCAAGAAATTCCACTAATTAACCCTGATAAGGCACACCTGTGAAGTGGAAACCATTTCAGGTGACTACCTCTTGAAGCTCATGGAGAGAATGCCAAGAGTGTGCAAAGCAGTAATCAGAGCAAAGGGTGGCTATTTTGAAGAAACTAGAATATAAAACATGTTTTCAGTAATTTCACCTTTTTTTGTTAAGTACATAACTCCACATGTGTTCATTCATAGTTTTGATGCCTTCAGTGAGAATCTACAATGTAAATAGTCATCAAAATAAAGAAAATGCATTGAATGAGAAGGTGTGTCCAAACTTTTGGCCTGTACTGTATATCCACAAACTGCAATTGTATCATTTCAAACGTTCATATCTCTCCACATATTATCCATCATTTCTTCCCTTTGCATGTAAATATGCCACTGGCTCACTGTCAAAACGATATCAAACTTCAGACCTTTGGATTGAAATCTCACTTGAGCCAATAAGAGCTTCCATGCCTGCCCCCATAGCCTGACAACAGGGCCTGTGTATAGATGCCTAATTTGTATGAATGAGTATTAATGAATTGTGTATAATATCGTTGTAATAGGAGACAAAAAAGTGGGAAGCCTTCAATATAAACTACGATCTAATTGAGACAGATGCTAAAGTTGATCTGAGTTGATTCATTTATGGCTGTATGTAATGTTAGCCCACGTATAAAGTTCTCAGCTCAACTTTACACAATATTAGTAATGTTACAAGTATAAGACTGACCATAGAACATTTTGTAGCCTAAAGAATTAGCTGTGTTTTGAAAAGTAATCAACATGAACTTCGCCATTATAGTCCTCTCTGTAAGCGTCCTGAGATCTGTATCACAACTACAACCTTTGGCAAACATCTATAAACCAGTTGATTAAAACTTTGTTTGATTTATTACATATTTTATGTATCTTTACATTGCAATGAAAAAAGAGTGGGCAACATAGGGCAGTCTGTTGATGCCTGTTCATAATGTAAATGTAAGTAAGTCATTAAACAACATGTTCCCGTCAACAGCCTTATGTTTCTATCATATGTCATTATTAATCCGATATCAAGTGGATCTGAGAGCTGTTAATGATTTCATACAGCCTGTAAGTTACACATACAGTCTGAAGTGTTTGCATGAAATGTGGAGCTCGCTGTGGTAGCGTGTGACCAACTTGTGAAACTATCATCAATCGTGTTTTACATCAAAGGCTACAGACTTTTATCTCTCTCATCAGAACAATATTCTACACAATTCATTAATATTCATTCATACTAATTTTTCATGGCTGTGAACTCTCATTTTATGGCGATTTGGATGCACAGGTATTCCCAGGTGTAGGAAACACAAATTATCAGAGGCAGGGAATAAGATAAGATAAGAGATATGATAAACTTTATTGTCCCGCAAGGGAAATTCGTCTTGGGCAGAAAAGTGCAAACAGCTGCAATATTCACATACATACATACATACAATCAACACAGACAAGTTGCCAACATAGTGCGCTGACTGTGTTACAGTTGCAGACTACGGTTGCAAGAGTAGTGCAACCGTTTCCCTTGTTTGTAGGGTTACAAACAAGGGAACTACAGGTATTGCACTGGCCTATCTCAAAGTGCAAGTGAGTGCATATAAAACAGATAAATACAGGGGTCAAATAAAAACACCAGTAAACCAATTAAAATTATATTAAATCAGTAACCCACTCACAATAACCAGACCATTTAGGCATAAATAGCCCTCCGTATAATATGGCTCAACCAGGGGGGCATTGCAGGTCCAGCAGGTGAGCAGGCAACCACCTATTAGCAAAACTAAGGAGAATTAAGTAATAAGCAATAGTATTAGTATTGAATTTGACGGGCAGGGGATCAGCAGCCATAAGCCTCCCCCTGCCCACGTTATATGTTCCATGTTCCATACAGAATTACCAGAATTCGGGGGGGGGTTGTTTGTTTGTTTGTTTGTTTGTTTAATAATAGAATGGAAGTGGGAATAAAGGACAATTTGAACCAGTTGCTCCTGCACCTGCTGGCTCTGTAGCGCCTCCCTGATGGCAACAGCTCATACTCCTGAAAGAGAGCATGAGAAGGGTCACTGAGGATTTTATTTGCTCCCTTGACAACTGCTCCCTCATATGTTGCCTGGAGGGACTGGAAATGATCATGTTTCCCCACTATCTTCATAGCTGTAGTCACCATTCTCTGAAGTCTGGCCTTACACTGGACTGTGAGGGAGCCGAACCACGCTGCCCTGCCGTATCTTATGATGCTTGTTAACACAGCGTTATAGAATGTTAGCATGATCTCGGTTCGGACCCCAAACAGCCGCAGCCTTCTGAGAAAGTGTAGCCTCTGAGCTAATCTGTTACAGAGGAAATCCACATGACCACTCTAGCATAGGTTATTAGACACCATCAGGCCCAGGTATTTATACAAGGACACCTGTTCAATAACGCAGTTATCAATAATTACCGGGTCATGAGCTGCAATTTAACGTAAATATTGTATAGAATTATATCATATGACTACAATATATATAGCAACTTGCTCACATTTTGGATGCATTCAGGATTTGTTTTTGTGAAGCGTACTGAATGTCACAGGGAATCTTGCTCTCCTAGCTCTCGTCTTAACTTGACATCTCAGTGGCTCAAAATTACTTTGGAAGGTATCAGTGGAAACAATGGTTAATTAATATAGTGAGTGTCCAGCAAACCGTTTCCATCATAATGTTTTAAAACACAATGTCAAATGAATGTGATCAATCTGCAATAAAACTGCTTATTTCCTAGTTAGTTGACAACAGGTTCTCAAAGGCTATGCCTACCACACATCTGTATTACCTGTTAATTCAGCCACCAGTTAATTTTGCACACCTGCCAGGATTGTTGAGATCGTAACTTGATGATGTACTTGTTTTTCCTTCTGATGCTGTCGTGTCTTGATGACGTTTCATGTATTCCCTGCTGATAGATCAATAAATAAAGAAGTCGTTTTTATGAGACTAATTTTTCTGAGGCCATTTTTTCTGAAGCCGTTTCATCTAAGACCTTTTTTTTTAAAGACCTTTCTGTCTGAGGTTGTTTCATCTGAAGCCTGACAAAGGTTTTCCTGAGACCCGATGGAGGTTTTCCTGAGACCTGATGCTTTTTCATCTAAGGTCTGACACCAAACTCTGACACCTGAGAATGTCCTAAAATAGACACCCTAAGACAGGCTGCAGCATAAATAAAAACCCTTTAACAGTCAACCCTACAATATTGTTGCAATATTGAGGTATTTGGTCAAAGTATTATGATAATTTGATTTTCTGCATATTACCCAGCCTTAATTTGTGGGCAGTGTGGGCACAATGTGCCATCTATACCTAAAATACAAAGATGTACTTACAGTTCAAAGAGCTGCAGATGTTCAAAGATCTGCCAGGACAATGTGGTCAACATGGGGTTCTTGGACAGGTTTCTGAGAGAGGGAATCAGAGAGAGGCAAACTGGTAAGACGGATGTGAGACACAGTTTCAAAATGACAACAAGAGCTGTTTGGCTTACTTTGTGTCAGTGTGTTCATTATGTCAGTGGTAAATCTGGTAAGAATGGTGCAGCTCTCTAAAATAATTGCTTTGATTCCATCTGACTCAAACACTGTGCAGCACACCTCAAACACTTCTGTGTCCCACTTCCGTCTTGCACTCACGCATGTAAGCACAGTTTTTAGGGTACTGTATGCCAGCATTTCTATTGTGTGCTACTTTATACTTACTCTGCTCTACTAGTACTTCATTACATTTATAGCAGTTAGTTCAAGAGGTGTAATAATCCCTTAATCTGAAGCAATATATTGATTCAATCATCATTATCATCAATGATGAGTGAAAACATCGATCCATATGATCAACTTTAGGATATGCCTTTATTTTGAATTCTGTGTCACCATCAAACAGCAGCAGGCAGAAAATAGCAAGCAAGCAGCAAAGAGAAAGAGGATGAGGATACTGTTATTTCCTCTGGAATAAATCACCACTGTGGAAATCTTTTGGATTTTTGAGAATCAGAAAGAGCACATGCTGTATGTAAACAATGCTGTTACAAAGTAAAATACTGAGGAAACACAACATAATATTACCTGCCTGGTCAGGTATCTCACTCCGCTAACTTTTTACAGCAACATTAGCTAATCTGTTTCAAAAATGCTCAGCTGAAAAAAATGTGCATGCGGGCTGAAATTCAACTGTGCTGTTCTGTCCCGAGATTTAGTGACTTAAACCAATGGTGGGTAAGAAAAAGTATGAATAATACATGTAATTTTTTGAGATATGAGTAGAGGAAAACTCTGCTAGCCGCAAGGCTAATTTATGCAACGTAAACATGCCAAGGCTAATGATGGACTAGAAATTAAAACAACTGTTTTGTCCATGAATCTTGACAGTTATTTTTAAGCCTTTTCTATAACTAAATTTGTTTATTTATTCAATCAAATCGGAACAAACCACTAGTTAGGAAGAATAAATGCACCAAAAAAAATAGGGACCTCAGCTGTTTATTCTTTATTAGGGACCTCGGCCGAAGAACGAAGTCCCTATTGTTTTTGGTGCGTTTATTATTAGGGACTTCGGCTGAAGGATGAAGTCCCTATTGTTTTTGGTGTGTTTATTCTTTCTTTCTTTCTTTCTTTCTTTTTTTCTTTCTTTAGTCATTCTTTGAACCAGAATTTGACCCCCTAGACATGCTCAAAACCTCACCAAACCCCTAAACTGCCAGAATGGGCTCTCTAGCGCCAACTACGCACACTAAAATGGCTGCTGTGGCCCATAGGAATTTCGTAGAAAGATCAAACCAAAATTGGCTTGTTCATCTCATCAAGACCTACAAATGACTTCCTGACACCCCTGACCTAAACCCAACAGGAAGTGAGCTATTTGTCCTTTCAAAGTAAGATTTCGCCTCAAAAATGCTCTTTTTCAAAAAATATCTCCTCTTACACCATCACATCAGCTTCATACTCACACACATGACAGGTCAACCCCTGCTAAACAGATCTGCTGTATAACTTTGTCATTTCTCAAACGGTTTGGATTTTATGGGCTTCTAAAGGTGACGTGCAACAAAACGTCCTGACGATCTTCAAAAGCTGTCCCATAGGAAATGAATGAGAGCAGGGGGAGAAAGGGACCAATCTTTGGGCTTTTTCTAGCCTTTACAGCGTCTCCATACTTTGTGCTACAGACTCCATTCCAACTCTCAAATGTTGCCACAGGTCTCATCTATTCACTCATGTTTTCATCTTTTTCATATCTTTTATCGTTTTTAATCTCTCCCTCTGAAAGTACCATGAGCAAAAGTGGAGAAATTGTCAGTTTATAATGGGTTTGTATTGCACAGAATGCTGTGAGCTAGAGTGGAGAGGGGTCTAAAAATCGTCTAAAACTTTGTCTTTAACTGGCTGCCAAGGCCACAATTTTCACTGTACATACACAATTTATACAAAAAAACATAGGAAAATTTGTCCTGGTGGCACTGGTGTCACCATGGATCACTCACACTTAAACATTTGGGTCAGTGACCTCCCAAGCAAAGGAAGCGGCGATATTTTTCTCATTCACTCCCATGTAAACTGAGAGGAGAAATTTCTGGAAAAAAGGTGAGGGGCAACACATCTTTAACTTGCAACACAGATCGCATTTTTGACTCCACACACATAAAAACTATATGTCTGCGCTCGGGATGAGTGTATCTCTCTGCTGGTATGATGTTATGGCCACTGGCCTGTGTTGTTTTTCTTTGTGTCCCCTTCCCTTTTCTTTTCTCCAGGTCCCACCCCTCCCTCATTACTAGTGGTTGAGCACACTTGAAGCCACTTGTGATGGGGGAACCATAAAAGCAAAAGGACTGGCTGCGTCCGCGGTCAGTCAGTGGACCGTGACAGCAGAGCTGTGTGTGGCGTGTGTTGTAAGGTAGAAGCATTTTCGCGTTGAACGACCGGTGGGTACTCCTTTGGTGTGGAAGGGAGGGTGTTGTTTTGCAGTTGCCGTTTTGTTGGCCCAAACTTACGTTATTTTGCTTGTGTGTTATAGGTGGTCCAGCTACTCATTTGGAGCAGCTCACTTTACGTTTGCATTATATTCTGTTTTTGTAAATAAATCATTGTTAAATTAATGTTGACCTGCTCTCCTCTCTCCTTCTTCCAAAAATACACACATTTATATGTTACTCCCCTCATCCCCGGGCTCAAACGGGGACGTAGCATATTTGGGGGCTCGTCCGGGATCATTTTTGGAAGAAGGTAACCGGGAAGTGGTTGTTGTTTGGGCCGTAGTGTTGTGTATTGTCTCTGTAGCTGTCGTGGTAAGTGTGGTGTCGGAGTGTCCAGCCTTTGTAAAGTGTACGGCAGCTTCCTCAGCTAGTTAGATGAGTGTTCAGCTGAGTTGTCCAACCTTTCCGTCGGACACTCATTTATCATTTTGCCTTTTTTATTTTCGGAGTAATTCTGGGCGGGGATAAACTTCTCTGTCGGGGGTAGGCATTTCAGGGCTTCGGTTGCTGAAGTTCAGCCTTTAAAGTTGCCTGGCATGCTCCAGAAGATAGGTAGGTAAAGTTTTTGCTAGGTAGGTACTGGGGAAGTTTGTTGTTTAAAGGCTTGGCTCTGTATTTTAACTGTGTGGCATCTGGCATTGGGTTTACTGTGTTCCTGGTAGACGTGAGTGAGTGCTTTAATGTTAGGTAAGTAGTGTGCAGCTAGGCTAGTGGTTAGCCGTAGCATTAGCTGTAGCTATATAGCAGTTTAACTTCGTGGTTCGTGGTTTGAGTTGTTGTGCTGTTTATTGTGGTGAGTATGGCAGTTTGTTGTAAACCCTACACTTGGTCAGCTCGACAGGTGTAGAAAGAGCAATCTATGTGAGATCGCTGAACATTATGGTGTGTCTGCTGTGAGTTCTCTGGTGAAGGCAGAGCTTAAAGCCGTGGTGTTAAATGGCTTAATTGATAAAGGGGTCCTGAGCTTACCATCGTCACCAAAGTCTCCTAGTGTGGAGGACGGGGCAGCGGTTGATCGCTCTGAATCTCTGGTGAGGGAGGAAGCTGAGCATCAGCCTGTCAGTACCACGCCTGCTGTGCGGGGTGGTGAAGCAGAGGAAAAGCCGCTTACGCTGCCGCAGTTCATGACTTACTCTGCAGAGTCATCTCCTGGCTCTAGGGTAGATGCCAGGTTAAAGGTCCGCCTAGCTCGTCTTTAGATGGAGAAAGAGGAATGGGAACGTGAGCATGAGTTCCAATTTCGGAGGGAGTTGGAGCTCAAAAAGCTGGAGGCAGAGACAGCCATCAAATTGCGTCAGCTGGAGATTCAGGCAGGCTCAGTTTGTGCTGCAACGGGCACACAGTCAAAGTCAGGGTCATCTGCCCCCGAAGCATATCGGCAGCCTTTCCGTGACCTCAGAAAAATGTCAGATCAGACATTTGCTGACTTTGCCAGAGAGAAAGGCGTCTTATTTGACAGATGGTGTGCAGCATGCAGGGCTGAAGATCGGTCCTCACTACGTGAATTGATGTTGTTGGAGGAGATTAAAAACTGCTTGTCTGAGCGCATTGTCGTTTATTTAAATGAACAGAAGGTAAGCAATCTGCAACAGGCCGCTGCTTTAGCAGATGAATTTGCGCTCACCCATAAGGTCATGTTTAGGTGCGATTTCCCTGCCCGTAGTTTAAAAACTGATGAAATCCCTGTCACACGTGCTCCTCTTGTGCCCTCTCCTGGTAAGAATGAAAAGCTGTGTTTTTTCTGTTGCAAGCCTGGTCATCTTGTTGCCGAATGTATAGCCTTTAAGAAAAAGCAGCAGGGGACGGGTGTAAACCAGCCTAAGGGTGTGGGTTTGATTAAAGGGGCAAAAAGCAAAATCGTTTCACCATTAGGTTTGCTGCTGTGCACTGCCTGTAGACCAAAACAAAGTGTGTCATGAGCCACACCTCCCTCAACCTCTGCTCTCCACCCCCCACCTCACTCGCCTCGCCTGTGCAGCCGAGCACCGCAGCATCTCCACGGACTATTACATCCAGACGGTCCCGGTGTTTCTTCCGCATGCTCCACTTCACTCAGCTTCACTCAGCTGCCCGATATACCCGCTGCTTCTTCCCACATTAACCTGAATAACAAACCAGGGCTCGGTCCTCCGGTTGGATCCAAATGGAGAGCCAGGGCTAACGTTAGCTGGGAAGCTAGCGGAGGCTAACTGGCTGTGCTGGCAGCTGAGTGAAGTGGAGCCTGAGAAGGAAGCACCGGTTAGCCCCGGTTTCACTACAGGTAGATTCACTCGCCACAGGGGTGAAGAAATAAAACCTAAACAGCCAACTTAGTTTGGCTTAGTTAAGCAGTTAGCAATGTCTTTCACTCACTCTCGCTCTCCTCTCTCCTTCTTCCAAAAATACCCGGTAAACATTTTATATGTTACTCCCCTCATCCCCTGGGCTCAAACT